TTGAAGTAAAAGGTGCGAATAGAGATATGCACTCTGGTGTTTACGGAGGTGCTGTTCCAAACCCAATTAATGTTCTTGCAACAATGATTGGAAAATTAATCAACGAAAAAGGTCATATTACTATTCCTGGATTTTATGATACAATCTTAGAATTGAACGAGGACGAAAAAGCTGATTTAGCCAAAATTCCTTTCGATTTAGGTGACTACAAAAAATCTATCGGAATTGCTAATATACAAGGAGAAGAAGGTTTCTCTACAATAGAACGTGCTTCTATCCGTCCTACGTTAGACGTAAACGGTATTTGGGGAGGTTACACTGGCGAAGGTGCAAAAACTGTAATTCCTTCTCATGCTTACGCAAAAATATCTATGCGTTTGGTTCCTGGGCAAGATCCTGATGTTGTAACACAACAATTTGTAGATTATTTCCCAACGTTGGCTCCAGATTCTGTAGAAGTAAAAATAAAACCACATCACGGTGGTAAACCTTATATTTTACCTACAAATCACAAAGGTTTCCAAGCTGCAAAAAAAGCATTAGCAGAAACTTTCGAAAAAGAAGCATTAGCAGAACGTGGCGGAGGTCTAACATTCCTATCGTTTTGCACTTTTCGAAGAAGAATTACGGAACGAAATCTTTTAAATGGGATTCGGATTAAACTCTGATGTTAATCCACTCCCTAACGAAAACTATGGTTATTTACAATTTCTACAAAGGAATTGAAACATTCATTATTTCTACAAATATTGTTTAATGAAGAAGCATAAACTTTGCCAACATAGTACAAGAAAAGCGTGAAATATCACGCTTTTTTTATTTTTTGGGCGTTCCCTCGGGGCGGGCTTACCGCAATCTTTTTAAGGAAAAAGGATTTACACTTCTATCCCTAACGCATTAAAATGTAAACACGGAAAACATCAATCAAATTACATTCTAATTGTCCATTCTGACTTGTCGAAAAGTTGAGTGAAATTCGATTAGAGTTTAGCATCTAGAAATTGATAATTGACTGTCTAATTTATCGATACAATTTTCCTACATTCTATTCCGAAAATACACTCAAAATGATAAGAAAAGTAAATTCATCATTTCATAAAAACCCTTCGAGATAATAGAAAATTTACTTTAAAGAATTAAATTTATACTTTATTTGGATGTATGCCTAAAAAATTTTTGATTGCTGGTGCTGGAATAGCTGGATTAACATTAGCTAAAGTTTTACAAGATTTGAATTATGATTTCGAATTATTTGAATCATCACAAAAAGTTCGCGGAATTGGAGCAGGGTTTGGTCTTGCATCAAATGCTATGAAAGCTTTTGAAATACTTGGATTATCTAAAGAAGTTGTTCCTCTTGGGCATATGCTGAAAGATTTTGAAATACAAGATTGGAAAGGTAAAACAATTTTAAAGGCAGATACAGAACGATTAATTAATAATTATAAAATAAATTTTGCTGTTCATCGTGCAGATTTATCATCAATTCTTGGTTTCTAAAATTAATCCTAAAGATAAATAACGAATAAAAAAGTTACTTTCTTCGAACAGAGTTACGAAAAATAGTTCTACATTGCTGATGGTTCATCAACAGAAGGAGATTTTTTAATTGCAGCTGATGGAATAAATTCTGTAATAAGCAAATATTATTAAAAAATTTACTCCACGTTATGCGGGTTACATTGGTGGCGTTCTTTGTAGAATAAATCCTATGAATCTAAAAAGTATAGAAAACATGGGGAGCAAATGGTAAATTTGGATTAACTCCGCTTATAATAATAAAATATATTGGTATGCTTTGGAATACACCTTTAAATTCATCTGTATACAATTACAAACTTGACGATATACGACGAAACCATTTTATAAGATTATTTTCTGGTCAAATAAGAAATGTGTTTAACAAAAAAACAAATCCAGAAAAAATAAAACACCCAATATGATATAAACCTATCATAATTAATTATTAATCGGTTTTTATGATTGGGATGCTGCCTCAACAACTCCTAACATGGGACAAGGACTTGTTGGCTGAGAAGATGATGCGTTTGTTTGATGAAATTAGTCCAAAAAGATACTGATATTTTATCTGCTTTTGTAAGGTTATAATCAACGCCGATTAAAACGCACACATTACATTATTGATACTTCTCGCTTAGCTGGAAAAGTTGCCCAGATTGAAAATAAATTTTTAATAGCTGTAAGAAACTTTGTTTTTAGAAGTTTACCAAAATCAATAACACAAAGTCCATTAGAAGATTTGTTAGAGGAAGATTTTATGAAAAAATAATACAAAACCTTTCCTTTAATTTAAATATTCTTCTACTTCATCATTTACTAATTGAAAATGATAATCAAAACTATTTTTAAAAGATTCTAATCTAAATGCAATTTCCCCATCTCCAAATTCCTGAAAGAAAAAATCTTTCATATTATTTTTTAATATCAACCACATTTTCTGATTTCTATAATCTATATCAGAAATTTCCTCTTCTATAATTTCTTTGGTTGAAACTAATTTTTTCTAAAATAATTTATTAATAACATGATCATGCTCATTAATAAATCGTCTATTGACCGGTGAATTTTTCATAATTCTGATTTTAGATTTTTAAAATGTAATAGTTAATTTATAAAATAATAATTTGATAATCAAAAACAAACAATAAAATTAACTTCTTTATAACAAAAAATAAAGAATGATCTTAAAATAATTTTAATTTCTCTTAAAAAACAGCTAATTACGAAAAAACAGCTCGTTTTTTTCTCCTCTCTACAAAAAAATCAACTTTACTTTTTATAATTTAGAATAAAGACTACGAAAAGACCAATTAATAGAAAACCCATTAAAAAAATATTTTGATGCAACTTTAGAAAGATGTGGTTTTGATGAAAATTTAAAAGCTGGAATTATATTTTTCCTTGGAGAAAGTATTATATCAGCTAACACAAATCAATTGATGAATATGTTTACTGAAGAACAAAAAATTCATCAAGAATTTCAACGTTTATTTTCTTTATATGCTACACCAACAAATATTTACAACTCTATTGAAGAATTAGATACACAACCAATAAAAGAAATAATCTACACTTATAATGAAGTGTATGTTAATACAATAAGAAAAAAAGATTTTGATTTCGAGAAAATAATCAATCAAGAATTGATTACAGATATAGATCAAGAATTTTTAGATTTATTTAAAAATTCAGACTATAAATTAATTACGAATCAAAAATTAAATACTTACTTTTTTAGTAAAATAGGTGAATATTTAAATGGGTTTAAATTAAGTTATCAAGAAATCTATTTAGCTGGAATAAATTATTATCAAACCAATCAAAAAATAGATTTTGAAGGAATTAATCTTTTAAATTTAAATATTATAGATAGTTTTTCTCCGTTATACTCTACTCTATTCCATTATCCATTACTATATGTGTATTATCCAAATAATCTGAATGCTAATCATTTATTTAGCTCTATTCTACAATTTTTATATTTACATACAAATACTGATATAGCAAAACACATTCATGCTTTTCATAATCATGTTTTTTATGAACCAAACCCTAGAAAAGTTAGAAAAGAATGGGAATTTGAAGAAGGAGATCGTGGAGTTTTAATTTCTCAAACTGTACATAATGCTTTAGAAATTAGAAAATCACCAATAGCTAGAACTAGACCAGATTTTTTAATTTCTGATAATTATTTATTGAAAGAAATAAAAGATAAATCTATTTCTAAGAATGATTTTAAAGCTTTAATCACAAATATCATTGAAGAATATTACGAAACGCCTATTGATGATGTTGTAAAAGGTAAATTAAATCACGCTGAATTTTTACAATTATTAGCTATTCTTTTTTATGAAACAGCTGCAAATTCAATGATTGTTAAAGATTGGGTTGAATAAAATATGAAACTATGAACATTAAAAAAATAATTAATTATACATACATAGCTATTCCTTTTTTTAT